ACGTGCTGCAGTGTAAGTACAGGAACAAAGGCAGGTGGTGTTTCCCCCACACTAGCTTCTTTTACTGGCTCCCTGTTTAGTCCAGAGTTGGATTTTAAACCCTACCCCTCATTTTTCTAACCCTCATCAAACCAGGAAGTGAAACCTCGAGATGTGGTTAGGAATTCCATTGGTAAAATGTCCTCCTTGAGCCACGATCGCCCAACTAACTAATTAATTAACTGTGTTACATTTCTGCACAGTACATTTTTTCTTACAGTGTATCATACATGTGTACCTGTACACACTGATGTAACACAGTATGAACACCTTAACTTAATTCAAACCTGACACGGTGGCTTGTGCATTGTTTTAAATTTACACGCCACTTCATAAATTTACCCACATTTGGCCAGTGGTGGGTCCTAATTTCCACCCCAGCTCAGGTCCATCAGTATGTTTCACAGCTTGTCTGTTTGCCATGAAGCAGAGGTTCAGCTTTAGTCTCTAATGTTGAATTAAACATATAGGATTGTTAGCTCGCATGAGCAGGTGTTTCACTTCCCCTCAGAATCTCACAACAGAGCAGAGTTAAGAGGTCTGGAGCTGGATGGTTAATCCAGTCATTTTAATGTTAAACCTTTAAGTTCGGTTCTTCATTTCACGTTCACCATGGTGGCGTAAAAACCCCAAAACAAACGTGTGTCCAAAAACCGGACGAGCATATTCACTCTTCTTGATTTCATTTGTGTTTGCAGTTGGCCAATGAGAACAGTCGCTGTCCTTGGAGGAGGGATTGGGGGTTTGGCTGCATCCTACTACCTGTGCAAGAGCCCCCAGGTTACCAAGGTAACACATGCTTTGTTTGATTAGGAGAAAAAAGCTGGGAACAAAAACCCTCCATGTATGAAGCAAGTTTCTCGAGCACCCTTATTACATCTGGCAGATGTTAGAAACAGAGGTGTGGACTCGAGTCACATGACTTGGACTCAAGTCACATGACTTGGACTCGAGTCACATGACTTGGACTCGAGTCATTAATTTTATGACTTTAGACTTGACTTGAAAAAATGTTCTAAGACTTGTGTTCATAACATAATTGGTGATATAGGTTACAAGCAAGTCTGGCGCTGAACAGAAATTGTCGCGCTATGCTCCTTTATTTATTGTGCATAAATAGTGAATTGTCCTGACACAATATTGCGTTTCGCTTCTGTTATTATGGTACATTGACAAAAACATATACTTTTATTCACAGGATAAAACAGTTTTTTGTATCACTAATTGCCCAGTAGCGATTACAGCATACAGTATTATTGTCACTGCTACATTTCTGTGATGCTACCAGAAATTATTTCCACTACTAATTAATTACCGTTGAGCTCAAAGGTCCTATTAATAAACGGTTAACGAATGTGTATTTATGACGACGATTTGTGAGACTGGTAAACTTATGATACGTACGATGGTCTTTCGTTCTACACGGTGCATTTCAAGGTCCTGTACCCATCCGTCGGTAAACTGTACCTGGGCTTGTTGCAGTGACCTGAAGTTACTAAACTTCATGAGTGTATGCACTCACTCCAAGAACCGTATGATTATAAATATGCATATAAATATGCTACGATGAGATAGCTGACTTCATCTAACTAGCAAATGTTGTCCAGGCTACGTTGGTGATGCAGTTTTTTTTAATGTGTATGATATTTTTGTCATGCGATTTTAAAGCCGGTCCTACAACCGCATCCAAGAATAACATGCAGCTTATCTCAGAACTGTCGGTGAAAATTATTCTTGGAGCTAGGTTTAATTGAGCTGCATTTTAAAGAGGTGCAATTTCACAATTTGTGTATATTTTCTAAGTTCACTATTTTGTCATGTGTTGAGAAAAACACAGATTTTAAAATTACATGGTCTAATATTTACATTTAGCATAACTGCAACATTTTTTTCGTTTTTTTTTAAAGACTCGAAAGGACTTGAAATTCAAAGTTTCAGACTTGTGACTTGTACTCGGACTTTTACACCAGTGACTTGAGACTCGACTCTGACTTGCCTGACATTACTTGA